CACAACTCTCCCTGTGGGAGAGAGAGAGGAAAATTTTAACCCAAAGAAGTAGTTATGCATTGAGCGTTGGAGATAAGAAGAGGAAATAGTAGCATTGTATAGGCTGTTATCTGGCCATTGACTGTCATTTCCAATATCCTTCCAATAGATGGCTCAATCTTGTAATCAGCTTGGATGGCTTAGCTGCTCAGAACAGAGATTGCTAAAGGGATATTTACTTTACTGTTGATGGGGGAAGGGAGTTAAATCTTTTCTTTGAAGGACTTATAAAATTTCTGCCTCTTCACTCATGCTAGGTACAAAGAGAAAGAGTTGGGGAATGATAATGAGGGAATCTACCTAGGGAAACAAGCATAATTGATGAATAACAACCCACAGTTTTACTAAACTTTCCTAACAGCAACCCTACAAGCTAGAATAATGACAGTATTGTTATATGTGTTTTACATATGAGCACATAGAAGCTCAAAAGGTTAAGTAAATTTGGCCAGGATCACAGACAGTTAGTATGGGGGTCCAGCTGAGACATGAACTCATGCCTTCTGATTTCAAGGATGGTACTCCTTCCACTGTATCATGTTGCCTCTCAATACCTCCCCATTACCCCAGCAGTCCTGATAACAAAGTTTTTACTGTATTTTGAAGAGAAAGGGGTGGGGGGAATCCTCATTTGCAGAGGTAAGGGACACTAAGGATTCATTTGCATTCATTCTGGGAATTTAGAGAAGACTGCAGCTGAAACTATAATGCAGTGTCTACATCTGAATGAAAAGTGAAAAAAAAAAAAAACACAAATGGAGTCACCCAGTTGTCTAGTCCACCCAATGTGAAATATCTGTGAGTATGGAAACAGATCAATGACATCATTTTTCATTTTCCATGAACAGGTTCTACAGCCATGGCATTGAGTTATTTCTCCTCTCTAAACCTCATTTTCCTTATCTGTAAAATGAGGGGATTGAGCTAATCATCTCTCAAGTCCAGCTCTAACATTCTAAGATTCTATGGAGGAGGACCATCAATTGAAAATATACACTGGCAGGAACAATGGGAAATGTTCCTTCTATGTGGCCTCAACACACCTTTATCTAATGAGAGGTATGCAGAGCCAAGATGGAATCAGAGAGGTGCTGCTCCCTCTGGACTGAGGTAGAGTGTTGGAGCTACCAGCATGGAAGCACTGGGATTCTAATATCTTTTTTCTTTCACATGGATCTCATTTCTTTTAATGGAATAAATAAGAAATGTTTTCCTTTGGTCAATTAAATATTGAGATTAAAGATATAGAGTGGGCAGCCACTAATCAGTTGTTTCTCTAATAGTTGGGGTTTTTTTTTGTTTTGTTTTTGCTTTTTGGTGAGGTAATGGGGGGTCAAATGATTTGTCCAGGGTCAAACAGCTAGTAAGTGTCAAGTGTCTGAGACCAGATTTGAACTCAGGTCCTCCTCACTCCAAGGCCAGAGCTCTATCCACTGCATCATCTAGCTGCCTTTTTTTTTCTCTTTAATGACAGTCAATAAGATTAACCATGTGTTGATCCAAATCAACTTTTAAAAGAAGCCAGATGCCACGATTTAATTGTTTTTCAATCTAGTATAATTTGTCTTAGAGCAGGGGCCCTTACCCTTGGTGTCATGGATTCTTTTCTCAGTCTGGTGAAATATATGGGCCCATCAGAATATTGTTTTTAATCAACTAAAATACATAAGATTACAAATTAAACCAATCATATTGAAATAAATTATCCTAAAAAAGTTTTTAAAACAAATTCACAAACCCTGTGACTGAGAAGAATACAAGTTCAGAAGCCCTGTAACTAAGAAAAATATCCATTCTACATTTTACACCTTTAAATACCTGTAGCTAATACTTGATCCACCATCAAAGTTTCATGTTAAAGAAATATGCAAATTCTTTAAAGCAGAAAACTAATTCCCTTTTCACATATGTATGCCTCTGGCATGTTCATTTTGCAGGCAGGCCCAGAAATTAACCAAAGATGTAGGAAAATTCACTCTCCTATCAACAGTGTTTTACAGTTTGGACTAGATGGTTTCTGAAGTGCTTTATAATTCTAAAATTCAGTGAATCTGAGATATTTAGCAGCTACACAAAATAAATGGAACTTTGGTCATTAGGATCTGGTCCATTAATATTATCCTCAAAATAAGGAAAAGTATTTGCCTTTCAACTTTCAGAGGTAGATGTGAGTCTTAGTTAAATGGAACAATTCATTGAGAGCATTAGAGCAAGCAATTAGGAGGTCTTTTATTTATTTTCTCAAAGATTTCTTGTTTCAAAGGTGTCCAACAGAAAAGAGTTCCCTTTTTGTTCTATTTCTTTTCCATTACTAATGTAATGCCAACATAATAAAGAACCATTCTTCTTGATCCTGAAAGGTCTTCTTCGACTGCCTTCCACTCTACCTCTGGTCAACCATTTATGGGCTGACTCTGAATCTGTCACCATCTCCTAACAAGGATGACACTGCTTCTACTATACTATGTTGCCTCTCAACATACCCCCATTCCTCCAACAGTCCTGATAACAAAGTTTTTGCCATATTTTGAAGAGAAAGAGAAAAATATTCTTATTTGCAGAGACAGAAACAGAGGCTCAGGTAGGATTTTGTCTTTCTCCTCCAGGGCCACCTTTATGTTGATAAGTTTCACAGGGTCTGTGAGTTTGGATAGGAAAAAAAATTTTCACTTTATTTCCACTAATCTCTAACTGAAATTTAGCATTTTCTTCAAGTATTTAAAAACATTATTCCAAGAAGGGTTCATGGGCTTCATCAAACTATCCAAAGGGTCCATGACACCCAAAAAAGATTTAAAACCCCCCTGATCTAAAAGATGGAAACAGTAGGCAAAAGAAACTGTTGGTATGGGGTTTGCTGAACCTAATTTCTTGAAAAATCCATTTTTAAAATATCTGGGCAGCCAAGGTTTCACACAAACACATTCTCCAATATTCAGATATACAAATGAAGCTGTGGTCTCACCAATGTGGGTGTTCCCTCCAATGGTATAGATCACCACCCATCCATGCCTTCCCATCCAGTCCTCCTGTAAGTTCACCATGGAGTACTACCCAACATGGTGGATGCCTTCTTCATACATGAACATAAACACACACATACATAAGCAAACAATCTTTCAGTGTGATAAACTTGCATAGTTCTGAAACTGAGGTGCTGGGCTCATCTCATGGCTCCGCCAAAGATCAACAATTCCAGACAATATCATGATGCAGTAAAAAGGCATTAGACATATTGTCAGAAGCTTTAGGTTTGAGGCCTCTCTCTGCAACTTACTACCTGTGACCTTGGGCAAATCTCTTTCTTTCTCTGGACCTTAATTTAACTCATCCATACAATAAGGAGGTTGGGCTAGATCAGGGGTTCTTAGCCTGGGTTATGTGAACTTTTTAAATATTTTGATAACTATATTTCAATATAATTTTTATATAATTCCTTTGTAACTCAATATATTTTATTTCATGCACTTAAAAAATGTTCTTCTGAAAAACAGTCCATAGACTTTATCAGACTGCTAAAGGGGTCCATCATCCACAAAAAGGTGAAGAACTCCTGGACTATTAATCTAAGATTTCTTGGAACTCAACTTTCTGTGAGTCTATGTCCTATTTGCCTTTCAACTTTCAGAGGCAGATGTGTATCTTAGTTAAATGGAACAATTCATTGATAGCATTACAGCAAGCAATTAGGAGGTCTTTTATTTATTTTCTCAGGGATTTCTTGTTTCAAAGGTGTCCAACAGAAAAGAGTTCCCTTTTTGTTGACTTTTTGCAGGCTTGGTTGGCCTGTAGCTTGAGCTATGGACAAACCCACTTGTAAAGAATGAGTTGTTTGATTTGTCAGGGATTCCCTTTAACAAACCCAGTCAGTCAACGAGCATTTATTGAGTGCCTATTGTGGTAGGGGAAACCATGTGTATATACTTTGTACTTAGGAGACTTTAAATGAGTAATTTTTGATGAAAGGAAAAAGGAAAGGAAGGAAGGGAGGAAGGAAGGAAAGAAGGAAGGAAGGAAGGAAGGAAAGGAGGGAGAGAGGGAGGTAGGAAGGAAATCCTAGTTCTCTGCTTTTCTTAGTGTAGCCCTCAACTCTGTTCTTCATAATTTCCAGGCAATATCTCACTGACTTCACACTAGCATTTATTCCCTTCCCTACACTGTTAACTGGGCATGTCCTTTTAAACCAAGTTCCTATGTTTAGAGATGTACTTCCCACAGGTATAAACGACATAAACCGAGATCATCTCCTTAGTTTATTTTTTCTAGAGTCCTTAGCATGCTACATTAACCTGACAATGCTTAATCTTGTGTTCATTTCACAATACATTTCATGCAATCCACAGCTTTAATTGGTTTTACATCGACATTACACATGTTTCGATCTAGCCATGTGAAAAGAATAATTCTTAATAGTGTTTGTCTCTAAAAAGTGTCCAAAGCTTAAATTAGCACATAAGCAGTTAACTCTATTCTCAAGTGCAGTCTCTCTTTTAAAAGCAAGAACGATTTTTAGCATAAGAATATAATGTTCCTGTTAAGTCCGTTTGTGACTGAACCACTTTCTTTCCGTGCCTTATGTCCTGAGGAATCCTCTCTTACAAAATTGCATTCAAGTATATTATTTAATTTAACATTCCAGGTTGTCTGAGTTAAGGGGAGAGGGACTTTTCCATCCCACTCTAAATCTTCCACAGTCCCAGCTTTCCCATGCCTATTCTTACTTAGCACTATAATCTCCTTTACAATCAACATTTAGCACTAAAGCCACAGAATATAGCTTTTTGGCATTTTCCAGTGAAGTGCAAGAAATTAAATAAATTATGTTTTTATTGCTAAGGTATAGTATCAAGCAAAGTCACATAATTAAAGGAGCGTTGGACAGTATGCTTCCCTCTTCCTGGCGCCCAAGAGTTCAAACGCACTGTAAATACCATTTAGTTAATCACCTGTCAGGCACCACTTTAGGAGGACGTGTTGAGTATTCTAGAGTCTGAGGAATCAGACCTTTCATCATAGTCATCCTCTGTATAAATAGGCTGCTTTGACACAATCGGACATCCATCATCCGGGATTGAGATCCGAGGATCTTCAGGCGTGCGAGTGGGGAGGACGGGAGAACTCCGGAAGACACTGGTAGAGTTACTGGAGAAAGGACTGACGTACTGAGACCTCAGCTGGTATTGCTGCTGCAGAGTCATGGTATTCCACAAGGTGACATCATTGGGCAAAAAGGGGCTGGACTGATTTCTTGCCAAAGTATTCCTCAGCATCAAGGGGTACCGGGGCGGCTGGGGAAAGGGGTGCTGCAAGGGAACTGCCAAAGGATTGGGCACTACGTTGCTGGAATCAGTGGAAAACCTCAGTGTGTCAGGAACTCTAAAGGCAGACCCCACAGACCACTTGGAAGAGGAGATGGGGTAGGAACTCAACGTGTGCTCAAAAATGTGCCCGTTGGAAGGCAAAACAAGACTTTCTGATTCAGCAGAAGTTCGGTCCCCTCCAGTGACTGATGATCTGCTGGATAAGAGGACCTCGACCGCACTCACTAGGTCGCCCCCGCAGCCCTTCAGAATCAGCTCGAGCACTGTTGGCTTCTGGTTGGGGAATATTTTTTTTAACACTTCCAAGGGCGGCCTGTTGGCTTTCAAGCTGAACGGCAGAGAAACAGTTCCCGATGGGCCTTCAATCAAGAGGTGATTTTGCTCAGAATGGTACTTGGGACTCTCAGGCCGGCTTTCAGTGGTGCTGCCATTTTTCTGAATGGCATAGCCACCTTCATCCACTGACACGATTTCTGGGCTCTCTGGGGTGAAGCAATTTTTACTTTTTGTCACATCTGGGGAGCTCCTCTGGTCTGCGTCTTTGTCACTGTAGACCTCAGCATTGTCGGCCGCACTGCTGTCTCCTAGGCGCTCTTCAGTCATATCTGAAAAGCAGAGAACAGCTGGGTTAATTTTTTCCTGATGATGCTAAAGAGTAACAGATGAGCTTAGTGCCAGGTTGTTGTTGTTGTTGTTGTTTTTTTAATGGCTAGGATGGACTTTCCCTACTTTTGTTGCAAAAGTAAACAAAACTAGATGGAATAAGGTTCAGGAAACATTAACGGAATAAAATAAAATTTGACCCAAAGTGACAACAGATAGTTAGCTACCCCCAACCAGAGATCCAAAATTCAGGCTTCCCTTTCTCAGTGATAGGCATGAAGAATATTTTCCAGACCCAGAAATCTTCCCCCTCTGAATAGATTGGTCCACATAACCATAAATCAATCCATGCAGTTAGTTCTTTTGGTTTCCAAAGAGTGGTGCAGAAAGAGAAATTACAAAGGTTATAGGCCAGGGCAAGGCAAGAAAATGAGCCTAAGTTGACCTTCTACTCTTTTTTTTTTCAACATGAGATTATCAGTGATAACCCTGTAACATAATTGGCTAGCTTAGTGTTAACATGCCTAAAGAGAATACATTAAAAATCAGATCTCCTCAAGGCAGCTGTGGTATACCAGTAAGAACTCTGGTCTTAGAGTCAGAAGAACTAGGATGTCAAGTCTAAGTGCTGATACTTACTAGCTGGTGACTACTTATTAGTAAACCCTGGGTAAGTCAAATTCATAGGATCATCAATAGCATAGACAGCACAGGGATCTAGAACTGGAACCTAAGAGGTCTTATTTTACAAATGAGGAAACTGAGACACAGAGAAGAGACTTCCCCAAGGGTGTAAGTGGCAAAGGTGGGACGTGACCTGGGGTCCTGGGACTCCAAGTCAGCGCTTTCAGTTTCCTCATCTACAAAATAAGGATAATAATACTTGTCCAATTTACCCCCACAAGGTTGTTGTGGAGGAAGTGATTTGTAAATCTTAAAATCCTATAGAAATGTGATATATTTTCTCCAACAGTGCTTTGCATCAATGACTTCTCTGTGAAAACGGTCACTTGCTATGAACTTCTGTTTATAGCTTTTTCCAATGGATTTGATCTTTGTATTTGTACAGTGGCTCAGCAAAATATGTTGCCAGAAGTTAATATTGCAACCAATAAACAAATGATTTTAATCAAAAAAAAAAGAAGAAACGTGATATGTTATTCAATCTACATCAAGCTATCATGGGTACTAGTTAGCAGAATGCTTCATTAGGTTCTAAAATGTAAAATATTAGTTAATATAATCCTATAGAGGGAGATATAGAAGATCCTATAGAAGGGGGCCTGAGGTATACTGAAACCTTTCTTAGGTAGCCTTTCAAGGGACTTGCAAAAATCATTTGCATATAATAAGCATTAGAGAGCAAGCAAAATTAATCTAGGAGTGATGGAAGGGGGTCAGTTGGTTTCTTAATAAAAAAAAGCTGAAACCATATAAAAACATTTCAAATCACTAATAATTATAGATATGCAAATTAAAGCACATCAAGATTCCACCTCAGATTTGGTGAAAATGACAAATGTTGGAGGGGCTATGGGATAACAGGCACACCAATGCACTGTTGGAAGAACTGTGAATTGCTTCAGCAATTTTAGAAAGTAATTTAAAATTATGCCCCCTAAGTCATTAAGCTTATACATACCCTTTGATCTATCAATACCACTAGTAGGCATATACCCCAAAGAGATTAAAAAAATAGGAAAAGGACTCATATGTGCAAAAATATTTATAGCAGACCTTGTAATAGTAACAAAAAAAAACCTAGAAATTAACAGGGTGCCCACCTATTGGGGAAGAGTTAAACAAATTATGGCATGGAATTGCCATGGAATATTACTGTGCTATAAAAAAATTATAAAAATGGACAGTTATAAAAGAAATGGAGACCTCTATGAAGTGATGCAAAGTATACATTATAAAGACATTAGAAGACATTATATAAAGACATCATAAAGAAAACAACTTTGAAAGACTTGAAATTCTGATCAATGTATTGAAAGACTGATTCCAGAAGACTGAAGGGGAAGGAGACAACCCTTCTCCTGACAGAGAAGTAATGGACTTAAAATGTGGAATGAAACATACATTTTGGGGCAAAGCCAATATGGGAAATTGTTTTGCTTATCTATGCATATTTGTTACACAGGTTTACATTTTCTCTTTTTGTTGTTATTGGTCAATGACAGGTGTGAGAGAAAATAAATGCCTATTAACTGGCTTTTAAAAAAAATGAAGTTGAGGAAAGATCTTTGAAAACTGTACATCATTCTCCAAATGCAAGCTATTGTTATTATCATTGGAAGCATAGTGGATTGATTACCAGACTTGGATTTAGGAAGGCCTCAGTTCAAACCCCACATCTGACACTGACTAGCTGTGTGACCTCAAGCAAGTCATTCCTCCAAGATTTAGGCAATGCTCTCAAATTCTAAAGGATAGACTATTCTACAAAAGAGGGAGAACTCCCAGCACAGACAGAATAACAGGTGCTTGCAATATTGACAGTAGTAATAATAGTAGCAGAAGCAGCAGTACTAGCGGTAATAAAAGTATTTTGTTCTCACTTTTTTTCAATGAAGTTTGGATAGAAATGGTCCTGAATAAGTCACTATCCTGATATTATTGTTTTAAACATAATGTTCTGTGAACTCTTACATAAATGACTAATTTTGTTATGTTTTGCATAGGGGCTCTTCTTTTTTTTTTTTTTTTTTGACTAGGCAATGGGGTTAAGTGATGTGCCCAGGGTCACACAGCAAGTAAGTGTCAAATGTCTGGCCTGAGGTCAGATTTGAACTCAGGTCCTCCTGACTCCAGGGCCAGTGCTCTATCCACTGCGCCACCTTGCTGCCCCAAATTTTGGTATATTTTGAATAAAAATTTTAAATTAAGCTCATCCTCTGGAGGGTCCCTGAAGTAATCTTTGATAATAATGCCAGTAACAGACAAAACAACAGAGATGATGTGTATATCAGCCTGTTCACAACTGATTTTGATCTCCTCCCTTAAGTCCATATTTCTATATGCCTACATATATACACATATATGACATTTATCATCATCATTATTATTATTATTTTAGTCTTCTCATCTTTATGTTAGATGAAATTCAGATAAAAATAGCCCTAGGACAAGTCATGATCCTACCACTGTCTTTCATCTTTACTGTTCAATGAACAGTTATGAGGGTGTATAAAGTAATTGATTTTCACAATTGAGTGAAAGTATTAGGATGCAAGATCGTTATTATTACTGATACTGTTGTTATTGGCCTATATCATAATCTTCTGAGGAACTAGCGTCTTCTTATGAAAGGATATATGTTAAGCAATTGTGTCAATTATTCAAGGGCCACAGGATAATAATGCTGTAATAATAATAATACATAATAATATAACATATATCATATATATAAAATACATAAACAATAATAATAACTGACACTTATAGAAGAGATTCAGGCAGCATAGTGGATATAACACTGGAAGACTCATCCTCATGAGTTCAAACCTAGCCTCAGATATTTACTATCTGTGTGACCCTGGGCAAGTCACTTTATTCTGTTTGCCTCTGTTCCTCATTGGCAAAATGAGCCGGAGAAAGAAATGCAAACCACTCCAATATCTTTGCCAAGAAAACTCCCAATTGGGTCACGAAGAATTGGACACGACTAAAACAACCAAACAACAACAGAGAAAGATTTAAAGCTTAAAGAGTCCTTTGCAAACATTGTCTGATTTGAATACAAGATGACTTGTAATAGATTGTTCTGTAACAGAGTTTGTAGAAAACACAAAAGCATTTTTTTCAATTAACACTGAAAACTATAACAGAAAGAATGGAGGGCCTGAGTTTGAATCCTAGCTCAGTTTCTTAACTACTATATGACCTTCTGCTAGTTACTTAACCTCTCGGGAACTCAGTTCCTTCACCTGTAAAATGATAGAGTTAGATCAAATGGCCTCTCAGATTTCTTTCTGATCTGAATCTGTGATTGTAAGATCCTCATCAGGTTATTATTGGCTTATAACGAAACCCTCAACAGGAGTAAATCAGTTGCAATGCCTTAAAATAGTGGCCAAGTTAATACTATCAAATAATTGCAAAGAGAAAAAGCATGATCTGCTCTACGAAAACTATTAGAAAGGAGAAGTTCTGATTGGGGTGTTTACAATAGCACACTATGACTACCTTTTATACTGAAAGAGTGTTTGATTTTTTTTTTGAAAGTCATCTTCAACTACAGAAAAATATTAGAGTCTATTGAGAAGCAACATGACATATTGAATAGAGAGTTGGCTTAGAGCCAGGAAGACCTGGGTTGAACCCTCTGATACATATGGACTACAGTCTACCTCCAGGTCCCTAATGTCTTGGTGCCACCATTCTATTCTCTAAGGCTATAAATTGCAGAACAGTTGTTGATCTGCATTAATAAAAGGGGTTTCCATACTAGGAGTTCCCTACTCCAATTAGATCACACGTCCTGTCACAAAAAAATTAGAAAATACTAAATATGAATTGGAACATTGTGGCTATCATTATATGCCATCAAAAACCAAGGCCAACCCGCTCCTGCATGCCACCTTTCTTGTGATATAAATATAAATAAATAAAGCCATAAATATTTACACAATAAAATTTCATTGAAGTACTCCCTTTTCACAAATTTTGTGCTTATTTCTTGGGTTTAAATCCTGCTTTATGCTTATCAGCAATGTGACCAAGTCACTTAATGTCTCTGGGCCTCAGTTTCCTCATCTGTAAAATGAAGAGGTTGGATTTGATGGCATTTAACATTCCTTCCACCTCTAAAGTCTATGATCTTGTGATCTTGTAACTATTAATGTTCTCTCACTATGGGACTTACCTAAGTATGATTTTTTAATATACCAGTCCCTTATAAAACACAGTGGAGGGGCAATTACTTGGTACAGTGGATAGAGCACCAGCCCTAGATTCAGGAGGACCTGAGTTCAAATCTGGCCTCAGACACATAACA